TTGCAAGATTTGCATGCCTTAAGAACACATTCTTTTTCTTCCCCTTCCCCACGCTCAAAGTCAGCTACTGCCTCATGTTAGAAGTTTTGAGCTCCTTCTTTTTCCTCTGAAGTCAGGAGGCACTGACAAAACCAAGCACTTCAAAAAATTTCCCGCAGAGCATCATTAATGTATTCCCCTTATACTGTACTCCTGCCCAATCCACATGGAAGAGCTTGCTACCACTGAACACAGAGACCTGATGTGACTTTGTGAGTTTTGGTCATTGAAAGTGGGTCTGCACAGGGTACTCAATGCTAAATTCCTGTGACTGTATCCTCACTTTTGTTGCTGGCATCTTCAGCTGCATGTAGCTCACTGGGAGCTCCCTGTGTGACAAAGAAAACTGTGCACCTGAGCCTGGGAAGGTAGGTCACTGCTGCCCTTCCTGTCAGTTCGCAGGATGTAACAGCTGTTTAAGAAGAGACATCCTTAGCTTCTACCTGCAGATGTGGTGTGACTCTGGTAGTAATTCCATATATGAGGTTGATAAACAGGACACATGCAAAGAAAAGTAGTCAGACAACAGACAGAACCTTGGTATTTTTAGCAGCTTTCCATACAACAGACTCTGCAGCATGATGGATTGCTGTCACTGCATCGCAGATGAGTTACACCTAGTAATTACTGACATGCTGTTTCCCTGTGTCCTTTCACCTTGTCACTGCTTTGGCTATATGCTTTCCAGAGCAAGCTCATCTTTTTGTACAGTCTACAGTAACACACATTCAACGCTGCTTTCATCTCAATAAGTAACCAAACTTCCAAGGAAACAAAGCGAACTCGGACGGTGTAAAAACGAGAAGGGGTTCCATACCAGCGATGATGCAAAACAGTCTGGCACAAAGGGACGTTAACCTCAGCCAATGAAACTGAGCAGAAAAATGTAACTCCATTTCCCCTCCCCACTCTTTCAGGCAAGGTGACAGACATAAGGAGTTCTTAAAAGCAAACACTGGTCTTGTGAGAGGCACCACAAGGCCTTAGCTCAGTTGTAGAAAAGAAATTGACAACAGTTAAAAACTGTCAACCTTGGAAATTCAATCAAAAAAGTCATATACCAATGCACATTATGTTAACTGGTGTCTCAATAGAGCAATGGGAGAAACAGAGTTTAGAGAAAAAAAATCTTTAGGAACCTCTCTTACCATTCTGCTACTATACCAAGCAGTCAGCTGCATCTAACTAAGGCTATACTCCTTTAACATCTCTCATCCAAACAAAGTGACTTCGTGTGACAGCTGATGAAATCATAACCACTGGTGTTATAATGGAAAGTTACACACACATCCCCAACAAAATCTGGAAATTTAGATACTGAAAATACTCTTTCTTTCCATCCCCTACTGGGCCTCCTCTCCCGTTTCAGAGGTTGCTTGTTCCAGAGTAAAGTCTCATAACTGGGCTGCAATTCTGTATTTCCATTCACTGCTCACAAGTTCAGCTGTTTTCAAAATACTAGGAGTGGGCTAAGACGAAAGATCACCAATCCAAGCCACAAAAGCATTCATTCAGGCTGCAGAGAATGCTTTGAATGATTTTGAGAGTACTTGTTCCCTCAGTCTTACCTTGCAAATAGGACCACAGAAAGCTGTGTGCTCGGATGTTACGGACAAGATTAAGCAGGTATTCTTCCCTGTAACTCAGCACTGCCCACAAGGCTGGAAAGAATGGACCAGAAAACTGCGGAGGTTGTTTCTTTATTTCTCCAAAAGCCCAAGTTCTCCACCCTGCCTCACCCCTACCACAGATATGACCTCTGGTCCATTAGTGACATCGCAGCTTTAAGGGATTCTGTCCCTTCCTTCCCTGCTTCCTCCTGTCACCATTTTATACTGTTACAGAGACAAGCACTGTTACTGCTAGGCTGTTGAACATGGATGGATATGACGGATGCTAGAAAGCAGCATCCCATTCCTTTCTCTTGGAAGAACATCACTATATCCCTCTGTATGTTTTCGTCCTGAATTTTGGGGGCTGTAGGGAAGAAGTAGGTATATCACAGACAGCTCTGGCAGCTGCTATATGCTCTCTCTAGGAAGGAAAAGAGAGACAGAATCAGAAGGAAGATTTAGAGAGAAAACAGAATTTTTTAATTAAAATGCTGAAGAAAAACATGGAGCAGTTATAACTCCATCTCTGACAGAAACTCTCCCTACTGTGTTTAACATGATTTTGGAGCCCAGTATTACTCAATTCCCATCCATAAACTGGGATAGTAGATCCAAAGCAGACCAGGGTAAACATGCAGGAGACCAAGGAGCTCGGCTGAATCTCAGTACCAGGCATTTGCAAAGTGAGAAAGAGCGGAGCAGTACTGACACAGTGATCACTGATCTCCCCAGCTGGCCCATGTCTACGATAAGTGCATATGCCAATAAGCAGAGTGGGGTTTACCTCATTAGCATGTGCTTTACTGACAAAGCCTCTGCACCAACAGCTACATTAAGGAGGGTAGTGGGGAGCGAAAGAATCACACAGCAGCAGCCTCTCTCCCATGAATTCCTCCCTTGAGGCTTTTGAGGTGAGCTGGTCATCACAGTGCACACTCTCCTATCTCAACATTACCATCAGAGCAGAGGAAGTCCTCCAAAGCAGTACATCTGGAAAACACTGCAGTGATGACAACGTGGGATGAGAGAGTCAAAGAGCAGGTGATGCGATGTCCAGTTCCAAGTTGATACCTGGATTTTGCAGACCCTGCTAGAGGTAAATGTACAGTGATAAATCAAGTTGTTTGGTCAAGGAAAGAGTGGACTGGAGAAGCAACCAAAGTGATAAGGCAAAAAATAAGGGAAGTGACCTAGAAAAATAAAGACAGTGGTTGAAGTACAGCTGTCTGCTTACATCATGCACAACTGGGAATGCAGATCAGACAAGTTACAGAGGTTTTCCAGATCTAGCTAAACACAATTACAACCTCTCTGCCAGTTTGGCCTCAGTACAAATATACCCCACCCCAAGATCTCATTACACTAAGCAGAGCTGAGTTTTACAAGTACTCCATTTCTGTAGCCAGCACAAAAGCACAATTCCAATTAAGAAGTACAAGGAACTGTTTATACCAGGCTTCCCTATCCACCACAGCACAGGTCAGTATTATCATTACAGACCTATTATTACTGTTTTCACTGTACTGTACAAATAATATCAAAATATTGTATTATGAATATCCAATTACTATTTAGTTTTTGATAGTATTCATATTCAAAGGACAAATTCAAAGGAACAAAAGAAATGCAAAGGAAAGTAAAACTTTACATGTTACATACATAATCTTGACCACAGCTCTTGAACTTGGGCTTTTAAGTGAGGTACATGAAGAGATGGATTGCAGGACCAATCCCTCTCACCAAAGACAGACAACTGAGTGCAACAGTCAGGAACTATCTTCTCCACATTACAGTTTGCTGACTCTCACTCACTAAGACATTACACAGTGATAAACTTCTTTTAATTTCTATTTAACTTCTAACACATTTCAGGCTGTGAAATATCAAAAGGAAATGTGTAGTAACCAAACCTTTCTCCCCCTAAAAGAGGAAAATACACCTTTAGAGTAATTCAAAGAATGGTTATCTGTAATAGACACTGAGTAAGAAACATTCTTAAGCTACTACGTGTGTGTGTGTGCACTCGGGACACGGACAAGAACAAGGGCCAGTGGTTAAGAGCAGAAACAAGAGCAGGACTTTTCCTATGAAAAGCAGGGAGAAGCATTTGGAAACTTAAAAAAAAAAAAAAGGCATTCTGGACTATGAAGGCAGGAGGAGCAAACCTGTAAACCTGAGGCAGCAGAGCAGGGAGAACACTGCTGAACACCCGCAATGAAAGTAAGAGAACTGAAATACAGACAGGGCCTGGAACTATCTTAGTAAGACAGGATATATGAAACTCAGAAGGAATTCAGAAAATTCTCAGCTGTTTTACTTTTGTAACATTAAATATTAAGGAAAATGACACAAAAGCATTTATGGAAGCATTAGCATATGCATCAGCACACTCCCAAGCACTGAACCACAAGAGATAAAATGGCCACTAGTCTGCAGTGGCAGCCATTTCACCTGCTTACAGAGGTAACAGAGTGCTACGAGAGGCACAGTTTGACATACAGATCTGCAAAAAGAAGCAACCACAGCTATTGGAAGAAAGGTATAGCTGCAGACAAAGTACCAGTCACATTCCTAGTTTCCATCCACATGTGAATAACTAGAACAAGCACACAGAAAACAGGAACTAAAATTTACATGAAATGAATATCCATGAAATGAAGAGGAAGAATGTGAAGAACAAGAGGTTTTTTACTGATAACGTACCAACTCAGTATCTCGATTCCCTTTTTTACTTCACAATTTCAAGTAGGCACATTGTAGAAAGGCTATCAGTATATATCTAATTCTTTACAGTGCTTTAGTAACAACAAACCAATTGAGCCATGTGCAAGATCTATAACCTATGGTTTGAAAGATTAGCTCTCTTCAGAAACAGCAGATAGTAAGAATTTACGTGACCATGTCTACAACAAGCCCTGCCACTGTGGCTTCAAAATCCAAAGGCATATTATCTCTGGTAGATTAACTGAGCTGCAGTTCTGTTTTTCTCTAGCAGTCATCAAAGCTATCAGTATAGTATGATCAGTATGGTATGATTTTACTTGTAAAACTCATAAGACTTGTATTCTCAGTGACTCAGGTGAAGTCATAACACAACATCAAAGGCCTGATGCTAAAGTTACCAAGGTATTTGGGAAGATTATTCATGTCAATACAAAGTACTTTAGAACTCTTACAAACTAAATTCCTGGAGGAAAAAAAGATTACTATAATGAAAAATATCAAACAGGTTTTACTTTTCTTGCTTAGCTGCAGCTTTGATACAAGATGAATAGATTTCTGAATTTAGCCAGCACTTCAGAAAGGGGAGATGGTGCAGAAGATACCAAAAAGAACCTCACACTCTCATGAATTACAATTCAACTCTTTATTCAGTTATCCATGTTATTAGGACAGGGATCATAATGACTGTTAATGCCATATGTGGACATCACTCCATTCCACATCATTGCTGGTCCATCCTTTCTTCCCTTCATTGTGATGGAGGCATTATCAAAAGGCTAAATGTCCCCATAAGAGGCAAAAGACGACCTCCTGTTGCTGCAGAAAAACCTAGACAAATAAACCATTGAAAAAGTTAGTCTTTGCCCCAAAACATGAACACCAGAAATTCAAGCAAACATCATAAAAAAAATCTCTGTACCCAGCACCTATCTGGCTTCCTTGATAGCTGCATTACAGACACACCAAGGACTGAGCCATGGGTACCAAACTCCTCTTCTGACCTTGGAAAAGGTCTTTCCAGGTCAGGGAGTGAGATGCAGTGAAGGCTGTGTTCTAATGATAAAATCTAGTTCCTGTTACCTTTCCAGTAGGTAGAGTTCAATCTCTGCAACCGGTGATCCAGCATCTTTCACACGCATTAGACTCCTGCGGAAATATTTCATGTGGAGGAAAAATTGTATAAAAGTTTAGCAAAGTCAAACTGCAGACTCTTCCTGCCTAGTTCTCCCACTGATAAAGCTTCAGTATTTGCCATCCAGTAAACAAACATTTCCATTCAGGCATGGACAAGTATTCCTACATCACATTACAATTGCACTACTCCTCCCATACACTGTTGTAAAGATGGGTGTGGAGAGCAACCATAACATTTGTGTTGTTTCTGCTGGCCTTGTGTTTGTTAGATGCATGGGAAAATATACACAAAAGCAGACCAAGTTTCCTCTTGAAACTCTCAAAAAAAAGTTTCAGACTTAATGCATGATACCATTGAACAGAAAAAATCCAGAGAATAAAGACTACCAGGCAGTGCTTTGCACAGTAGCAGCAAGAAAGGGAACCTGCACACACATCCTTGGGCAAATCAGACTTCTTGTAAATGAAATATTTACAGATGTGAAATATATACAGTTGCACAAACAGTCAATGTGACGTTCCCATTCCTCATCAAGGCATAACTGAAACATTCCTCTTGACTCCTGGCCTCCCACTACATTGATATGATAGAATGAAAAGAACACCTGTGTATGCAGCTACTGCTTAGTCTTCTATCTCTGCTTCATAGCACCTTCATGTTTAGTCCACATAACACTGCGTACAATTTTCACCTCTCCAGTTCTTCTCTCTCCAAAATGTATGTATTTTACAACACAGACAAACTAAGCATCAAGGAAGCTCAGCAGTACCACTGCTTCCAGGAAATCTGCATCGAAAAAATGCATGACTGGCCAAAGAGGTAGCTTTGGGTTACTGGCTAATATAATATGGACTTTTCCTCCTTCTCTAACAACAAATGCTAATCTGTACAAGAGGGATTGTCCCAATAAATTCTGGAAATTAGTATATATGACTGAAAATTCATGACTGTGATAAATTAATTTATTTTTTTTTTTACAACAATGAATTACGTTCAGGTTGGACATCAGGAGGAATTTCTTCACAGAAAGGGTTGTCAAGCATTGGAATGGGCTGCCCAGGAAGGTGGCGGAGTCATTATGCCAGAAAAGACTGTACATGGCACTTAGTTCCTGGTCTAGTTGACATGGTAGTGTTCATTCAAAGGTTGTGACTCAGTCTCGGAGGTCTTCCCTACACCAACTGACTCTGTGATTCTGTGAAATTAGTTTTTTTCCAATTAGAACACTTCATTGAAAAAAAATCCAATGACCACTAATAAAACTTAATTTCTTTTCCATTCATGTATGAAAAATCTCAATTATATTGCAACTTGTCTAACACAAAAATTCAGTCCTGAGTTGGAAAACTGTATATATATCATATTACATTAAACCTCAGATTAACATAACACAGTACCTGTACTTGGGAAAATGAAAAGCATTACATGAAGAGGGAAATTTAAAAATTCATTGTTGAGCAAAAGCAACTGCACTGTCTACAGACACAGAGGATACTACTGACAAACACTTCTGCTACTACTGTGTATATTGCAATAAAACCATACAGCTCAGCAAAATCTATGTTAGACTTCTACTCTCTGTTCCCATTCAGACAAGGCCAAGATTAGCACAGCTGACTGTTCTTAGAGAGCACTCCACACCTATATTCCACACCCTGTTCAACCGATCTCAGCCCTACGCACCACTGACATTTCAGAAGCCAATATTTTTTTGGTAAAAGATGTGTACAGAGGCACATCAAGGAGTTCTGAAAGCAAAAAGAAATGGCAACAGAAGATAAAGATGCAATTCAATGTATGCAACACTTTCAAAGTTCTTTCTCAGATGCTTCTTAGTCTGCTCTTATTAAAAGATAAACCAAAAAGCTTTCTCCCCAGCAACATCAGTGACTACTCGACTGACACCAGACTTGGGATATTAGTTGTGTAGTTCCGATGCACAGTAACTGCTCTCCCTTAACTATTCTGCTTCCTATATAAATGGATAATAGAATGGCATATTCAACTCCCCAAGCACACTCCTCTCCTTCCAAACAAACCAAAAATATCTATTACCCTAAGAAAGAGTACTGGATGTAGCTGCATACAGCAAACTGCCTCCAAATAAAAAAGCAGACACACAGAAATTCACATAAATCTTTTATAAGCCCTTCTCGCACAGAGACTTGGCAGAGCTTAATATGCTGACATATTACTGTGCAGACTCTGTATATTCTAGTAACACTTGTACTGTTCCTAAAGGGAACAAAAGAAGGATGCAGAAATACCTTGAAAATGCCTTGCATGAGTGCAATGTAAATGTTAACTTTTCTGTCAGCCTAATCCATCATCTTGCTTTCAGTCAGTGTGAGGATCCTATCCAGTCCCTTCTTTCACATAGGTATCACCCCCCTTGCCTGCCCGTGCAAGTCTATGACAAGAATAGAAAATATTCTGCTTCAAATCTCTACCATATCAAAGATACAGAAAACAGGATGCTTTGCTATGTCACATCTAAAAGAAAAAAAACCAAAACCCTTTGTACTGACAGCCACATGCAGAAATGTGGCGGATCTGAGACAGTATTCTAAATGCCTTTTTGTTTATACAAAAAAAAATAAGCCTTTCCTGACCAGTTGACTCTAAGTCACCTTGCTCATTAAAAAAACTTAGATACATTTATATACCTCTATCGCTTAATATGCTAAGAAGCAATAGGTTACAGGTGTATTGGGGCAAATAGGGCCACGTTCAGGGCCCCTCTTCCCAAATATTACTGTCATCTAAACTCAGTGCAGTAACACCTTTAATCCACATGACCATCCATTCAAGTAGGCAAGCACTACAGTTAGTTTCCATATCAACAGAACTTTCAGCTCTCCTTCTTGAGATTCAGCTCGCAAAGGTTAGTATCCTTAGCATATATTATATACAGAAATTCTGGTGAGATTCCTCCTTACAAAAGCAGCTGAGAATGCTCAATATCAGCAAAAACTGTTTCCCTGCCTCATCTCTATTCTGATGACAGACTGACACAGGCTTCAGACTCCTTTACTTCTACTACCAGAAATTACTTTCTCTTCTTCACTTCTCAAGCCTGACCGGATCTAAACCCCTTTCCCTATGAGCTTCTTCTCACATACAGACTTTGCTCATCATATATAACAAGGGTCTAATCAATTCTCCATACAAAATATTTTCCACTTAGCACATGCAATCTCCTTTCACTCTGCAGTAATTCAGTTCTGGGATTTCCAGCCTGTAGTCCACATAATACTTTCAAAGGCTGTATGATAACTTAGAAGCTAATGAGAAAAGCATACTAGTTGTCCACAGTCCTAAGTGGTGCCTGATGTGCACTGGAGAGTATTTAGTTGCCTGGCTATCAAAATTCAGATCCAGTTTAGTTCTTGCATATAAGCACTGTTCCTGATTTTAGTGTAACCCCATGTAACAACAGGAAACAGAACTTTGAATTTATCAACTAATACTCAGCTGTCAGTGAACTAAGAAACATTTATGAAAGTACAAAAGCGATCGCTGTATTCTGCATATTGGTATATATTTTGGACGCAATTTTTTTTCCCAATCCACTTGGACATGCTTCTCTGCATTTTCAGCTGATCCAGATTCAAATTTCTCCTATGCCAGATAGTTCATCAGTGCTTCCATATCTTGCTGTTCTCTCCTCTTTTACATCTTTTCAGAAAGGGAAGTCATCCTAATAAAGGTCAGCATTTTAGTCTCTGGTAGGAGACTTACTCGAAATGGAGGTATTGTTATGGTGGAACATACTAATGACAGCTGCAACAGTAAGTATTTTATGATGTCTGGGTCAGTGGTCCATAAAGGGGAGTGCACCTTCCCCAGGGAGGGATTCAAGACAATCCATAAGGCTGCAGGGCGAAAATATTTTTTCACCATTAATAAATATAGTTAAGTAAATGTTTTAAATAGTCTTCATCTTTATCTCATCCTATTTTAATTTCTTGTTTTTATGTAAGTTTTATAATGTATATAGCAATCCATGAATATAACTTCTAAAAAATATATATTTGAGCATATATATATATGCTCAAAATGTTTTTTTTTCTGATAGGGATGTGCAATCAAACAGGTTTCAGAGTCATGGGTCTAGGTAACTAAAGAGGTGGTTGAAACTATCAGCTGTTATCCACTAAGTCAGAAACATTATATATTTTGTATTTCCCACTTTCAAAAGGAATTTTAAATGTTGGTGATCTGAACCTTTTTTTCCTGCCTTGAGATATAGGAAGTCTCCATAAAGAACATTGTTCTTTACTATCATGGCACTTCTCAGGCTTCTATCATGTCATTTATATGGTGCTCTCTAAGTAGCCAAAAAAGCATATGAGCTCTGAGCCTATGAGGCTGATCGCTGGCTGACAGTAAGGATACTTTTACCTTCATAAAATAAAATTCCACAGGTAAAGATTGCAGAATCCTTAGATTATATACCTCTATCGCTTAATATGCTAAGAAGCAATAGGTTACAGGCGTTTTGGGGCAAATAGGCCCAATTATTCTTTGGTTTTTAAACTAGGTTAAAACTAGAATTTCACCAATGGCACAACTATAATTAATCGTCCTGTGAGGCAGAGAATGGATGGGCTAGATAAATTCCTTACAGCCTTATTTTCCAGTACTCGGAAGATGTGGCAATTTTGGTGAAGTTTAATTTTTTAAGATATATACTATGCCTTATAGAGGCAGACGGGAAACTGGAATGTTGAATTAAAGATGAGAATTAGGACATCAGGTAACCAAACACCAAATCAGATAGGTCAGTGTGCCTAGTGTGCTACAGGCAGTCTTTTGATGGTTAGAATTCTGTAAATTAGACTCACCATTCAAAGGGACAGTTCAGGGACTCTGCCTTTCTCCTCCATTCCCCTTACTCCAGTTAGTATTTTGCAATCCATTTCTCCCAGTACTGGAGGTTTCTCAGGTCACAGTCATGAGTTTCTTCTGCTGCTGCTGCTGCCACCTACCAGTTTTATTATTCTGTTGCAGCAGAAGGGCATATAGAAGAAGTTCGTGTTCAGCATGCACATAATCATCATCCTTTGTCTAAGATGTCATGGCCTATTCAAGTTCTACAACATTTCCCCATACACTAGGCAAAGCACTGGGCAAAACCAAGATCAATACAAGGCTTTGAAAGCCATTCCATGAAGAGGAAGGAGCATGATCTGTAAAACCACCTTTCAAGAAACATTAAATACCAAAACATTAATTTCTGCAGAATGCAGTACATTTTTATCAACTCTCCCCACCAAAGATCTGTATTTCTTTCAAGACAATCTCTACTTAATATGTATCTAAAATCAGGTTAGAGATGCAAAACTGTGATCCAACATGAATTCATTAATAAATTTGAGGAAAAGAAATTCTTATTTTTAGACATTATTACAAACCCCAAAAAGACACCCAACCACATGCCTGAAAGTGTTACACCCGTGTCCTATAGCAGTTGATGCACAAAAATATACACAAATAAAGGAATAGGCCTGCCCAGTGCTGAGACGCAAGAAGTGGGTGTGTCTGAAAGGAAAAAGTATTGGAAACATAAGTATAACAGGTTTGTAAAATTATCTTGCAAGTAAAATTAAAGACACAAATTATACACTCAATTATACCAGTGAAATTGGATATCACTCCACTGACTTTCAGAGAGTGATTCCAGGTTTATCTCAGTGTAATTGAGAGCAAAATTTGGCTATAAAATTATTCCCTCCCACCTTAATTTGAAGCTGCAGTTTATGGTATTGCTGAAAAATTTACTGTGTATCAGGAAAATATAAATTGAGACTACGAAAAGTAGACTATTTTATTACGGTATAGAGGAGTTATTAGCATACACAGAAAAATAATCTGAAACAAGTGCTAATTCCTTACAGATGTCATGGGAAATAGAAAACTGCATTTGGAAACTTGGAAGCCTGTCTGTAGGCTCATATTCTTCAACTTGGAATGGTATTCCAATTGTCTGATATTTACATCTGAGTAAAATACAAGATTATCCTCCTTAAAAGAAGTAAAAGAATATTAAGTACCCAGCAGTTTTACATGGTTTGAGATTCAGGGAGTTGAGTTACCAGAGAAGGATAAAATGTACAAGTGCTTCGATATAGCAGTAAGGACAACATAAAATATATCCCCCATCCTCCACAAACAGAAATAATCAACCCAACAGTCTTTTTCTTCAGCACACATATTCTTCCATCTGTCCTCTTTATCGGATCCTGCTCTATTGAATTTTAATAGATTTAACATTCTTAGCACTAGTTTTTCATATCTATCAACTCCTAATTGATGCAGTTATATTTTATGTTCATTTGGCAAATGGAAAGCAACATACCTTTCAAAAATCTAAGCTAAAATAGTACACTTAAAGGCAAACTACCTTGAACTGACAAAGAAGTGGAATGAATGTATTACAAAACTACTCCTCACACAGTCACATGAGGGGACTCACTTCTGTCTTACCTGAGTAAAGCAAATGACAGTTTTTTTAAAGGTCAACAAGCATAAGGAGGGAAATCGAGGAAGAAAAGTAGGATTTTCTCTAAACATCACAGTTAAAGAAATCATTCAACAAGTTTCACCAAAATGAACTGATGGGAAGAAAGGAAGGCAGACAAGTTAGCAAATTTATGAAGGTTACAGTAAGAGCAGAAAAGTCTCAATTTACCTGACAACAGGTCGGTTTTGGATGTCACCAAACTGCTGCGTTTACCATTTTACCCGCTTGCATTACTGGGGGGAAAAGTTTAGGAAGGAACATTCTCAAGGATTTTTCATAAGTTCTCACTCTTGCCATCGGAAAGGGGAGAAGGGGTTTTCTCTGGATTGTTTGACTTTTTTGGCTCCTGAAAAGTTTTGCAAAGAACAGTAACAAAGTGTGAACTGTTAGAACACATTTCTGTAAAAAAAGGTAGAATAAGTCACACAAAACAGAGCAACAACAAATCCCACCCGAAATCCTCACATCCAATTTGTGTCATTGTTTTAAACAAATAAACAAAACAAAAACTTTTCAACTCAAATTATAAACATGAGAGGTTTGAAGACTTCTAACAGCAGGCCAAGATCCACCATCAGAATGCTCCAAAAGTCACTCTCAAAGGTTAAGAAAGGTTTAACGAAATAAAACAAAGAAAAAGGCAGCAAACACCTGGTTATAAATCCTGCAGTGTACAGCTTAAAACAATTCCTAGAGCAGTGAAAAAATTAAAAATTAAAAAAGACAGTAGCAACAGAAGTTACCTGTCCGAGCACCTACTATTCCATAGAGAGAACAGGAGTGGGTCGTGTGTCTCACACCAGCCATAAAGCCCATAAACCTTCTCAAAAAGAGTGAGCCATGAGAAAGATACTGTACATGTGATCTGCTTTCAAAGTCTCTCTAAGCCCTTATGGTCCCTTATGTATTTAACTGACAGATTTTTGCAATAAGGGGAGAAAATATTTAGCAAAAGTCACTGGTTTCATTTGTTGGATTTTGTAGTCCTGTACAGCACCTGAAGAAGTATCTCCTTTCCGCCTGACATACACAGATGTTCCAGAGATTATTTCCTGAGTAAGTATCACACAAAGATAGCACATGAAGAGGAGAAATTGCTTCAAGAGTGACCTCAGCTCAGAATGAAAACATTAACAGTCAATATAAGCATCAAGCATTGACATTCTTTTACAGATGAGGTGTTTTAACATTACAAGAAAAGATTTTATAAAACACATTAAAGCATTGAATACAAGGTTTAAGATACAATCCATACATTGACATAGTAACACATTAATTATAAATACAGTAAGTTCAACAGAAGAAAATCTCCAGTGTTACAAAGAACAAAATTTGATCCCATGTAGATTAAGAAACTTATTCTTGCAAACAAGAGTTTCTAGTTGGCTCTTTCAAAGATTAAAATACACAGAAATAGCTGTATCGCCATCAGCTGTACTGGCACTATTGTAACCACCACTGTGTTGACCATTTTTTCAGCACATGCTTTCAAACCCACATATGGAGGTAGTGTTAGTGCAACTGTATGAAAGTTTAGCATGTGATTTTCAGCACAGGGAACTGAAGAAGATATAAAGCTGACATCTGTGAAGTTCACCTTCAGTGGGAAACACTGCCTGGTTGCCATGGGCTAGATTTGTTGGTGTTTTTTTTCCTTCAAGTAAAAACAAGACACTTCTCTTGCATCCCCAGGCAGTTCTATGCATTTCACTATTTCACTATTTCAGGAGGTAAGTAGGGAGTAAATACATGAGACAAGTGTGCCCATTTGTATCAATGAACCCTCAAGCAAGGTATTCATGCAGCATCAATACCCGGTGTCCAAACAAACGTACATGATGTTTCAAATCCTGTCTCCCTCTGTGACCACTATGCATAGACTTATCTCCAAACTAGCAACGAAAGTACCAACCAGAGGTCTTTCAAAAAATCTTATTTTTACTTCACAAATTTTACAACTGTGAGGTGTAACCTGGACTTTCTAAAAAGGTGATAGAAATGTAAGGTTCCTGTGAGCCACGAAATACTATGGAGACTCAAAAAACCCAGTCCAGAACCTTCAGTTACCAGCTCCTTTCTCTAAAAGATGTTTCCTGTGATAGAAACACAGAGGTCCCATTACACCAACTAGCACGTGTTTACTCCCTGCTGTTATTCCACATGTGCTCAGCGTATGACACAGCTGGAAAGGGAAGGATTGACCCTATCAGCCCCTAGAGGAGTAGAGGCACCTACCAGTAAACAGACAAAAAAAAGAACAAACACCCCCACCCCCATCCGAAATTCCCCTTAGATAAACAAGCAAAGGAAAAAGAGTCTCTGGAAGAGACAGTTTACTGCTCAGTGACTAGAGCTCAGTTACTAGTGAATTAGGTTTCTTTCATGTTCTGTGGTTCTGCAACTCTTCATGGAAGTTGAAGACCTTTATATTCTTCGTGTATAACCTGCACACTTGAAGGCTCAGTAAGGATTTGAAAATACCTTTACTGCCGAAGATCCTTTTTTTGCTGGACCAGCCGGTCCACTCTCCTGCTTAACATCAACAGTCAACCTTTCACTTGATTTTAATAATAATATTTAATTCTACAAAAAAAAAAAAGCCATTTTATTACATTCCTTTTAAAATAAAAAAACCAAACTGTACAAAGAAGCATGATCAAACCTCCATAAAGCAGGTTAATACTGTTCTGTTTATTGCCTCTTGAAGACTCTCTGCATAGTGTCCGTGAGTTGTGTTTAAGGTCCAAGTGAAGATAAAACAGCAGAGCAGCAGAGAGGTGAGGAAGGGCCACAGAGGTGGGCAGTGCAGAACCTCAGAGGGTACATGGGACATGCTCCATTAAAGTATCCAGAAAACAGCAGCATTGCACACACACAACCCCCCTCCAAACAAAACCTATTTTCACAAGATTATTTTTCAATTGTAAACGTTTTACTTTATGTTTTTAAAAAAGAGGCTTATCTCTCTATATATATCTATAGTTCCAGGGTTTTATGAACCCAGAGAATAAGAGGGGAATGAAAAGGGAGAAGGAGGAGGAAAAGGAGGAGGAAGACAAGGACTGAAAAATGAGCTCAGTATCTGTTTTGGTTATTTGTTTTCCAAACCAGCTCAAGGCTAATGAGAAAATGCACAGCCAGAAGGATTAGGGAAAATCAGGAAGCCTGGAAAAAAATTAGGAGCTAAACAGCCAAAACCCCAAAAGAAATCAAGCAAAACAAATGCGCGCGCACACAAACACACACAAGTGTGTGCACTCACACCACACACATGTAAGGGTCCAGGATCAATCTGTTGATTGATTGTGGACCTAGGTTATATATTTTTTTCTTTTATTTTTTTTTCTTTTATTTAAATTCTGGCTGAGCTCTCTTCTTTTTCTTTTTTTTTCCTTTTTTTTTTTTTTTTTTAAATCTAACGCGTTTTTTTCCCAAAGCTACAAACTGAGTATTTCTCCCCAGTTATACTCTTTGGATTTCTGCCAACATCAGCTTTTATGTTCAGTGGGGAAAAAGTAAGCCTGGTACGTATTGTGTGAACTGCTTTATTCTAAAGTTCCTCTGAACGACTAATCACTTTTAACCAGCTCTTCCCTCCTCCACGCCTTACCACATTCCTCCCTCCGAAAAAAAGTGAAAAATAAAAACAAATGAACAAAACCCCAACAATGTACAGGCTATATCTCAGTGTTTTCTTAACAAACAGTCTGCGGTGTTTTCACTTTGGCCACTGTTAAAGATGCAGGCATAGAGAAGGGAGTGTTGGACTAGCATGTATTAAAAGAAAAAGGAACATTAACATTGCAGATCTCTCTCAGAAAGACTAAAACACTAACAAATACAAGTCGATGCACGTTTGCTTTAAACTAGTGTAATTCATTTTCACATTGGATTAAACATCATTTTGTATACCAAACATTACAGTGCTGTTTATCTCCTCCAACCATGCAAAAAATAGTTAAAACGTGCCATTTCTGCCCACAAATAGAATATGACTAATTCTCCTAGATACCTTCCAAAATCAGGATTTGAAATGAGAAAAAAGCAAGTACTAATATCCTCCTTCAAAAGCTTTATAAAGAAATTTAGACACAAAGCTTCCACTTAATACCAAGATGGTACAATTTACAGACTTTTACAGAAAGTTCTTGTTAAGTCAACTGACGCTTCTCTCAGCCTCATCATTTGAAAGGCCATATCCTGCAAGGTCAGAAAGTGATGACTTTAAAAGGATCCTGAACTTACAGCTCCCACTTACAAGAGTAGGAACAGTAGGTGTCCAGGAATTTTGAAATACTTGGTATTTAACACCTTCGACTCACATAAAGAATTTGAGGCACTCAGCAATTTACAGGATCAAGCCTTACAGAGGTAGAAGAGACTTTATTGGTGCAGTAATTCACAGAAGTTTCTAGAGAGCTGCCAGACAACTTTCTGAAAATCTTCGAGTGTGAATCATGCTTCAATGCTTGCCTGTGAAGACACATGAACTGCAATATATCTGGGGACCAAAGCAGCATTCAAATAAATCTGCTGCCTGGGTATGAACTGAACATCTTTATTGTAAAGCTGATGCTGACGAATGAAGACAATTTAATGTTCTGCAAAAAGGTAGGGACAGCAATCACAGCACGTGTGCCCTTTACTCTTGCTCTCTTGACTGACACACCCACCCCCTTTCCTCATTTCCTCTGAGCGTCTCTGATAAACAGCATTGCAAGTTGGCTTAAAAAAAAAATTTACAAGAGAGAGTTCTGTTGGTCATCTATTTACACGTGGCATCACTCCACCAGGAGTTTAATCTCATTGGCTAATAGCTGGTTCATGTTGAATAGAGCCCCCGGGAGCTTGGTGAGCAACTCTCTCTCCGTGGTCTCAGGGTCGCTGTCGACAGAGCTGGAGCTAGCACTCATATTGTCGACAGCGGCACTAGCTGGAGGGCCCAGCTCTGGCTCGCTAGTCTCGCTTGCCGTGGACACCACAGAGAGCAAGGACATGCGCCGCGTCAAGCGGCCGGGGGTGAGCAGAGAAGCGGCATAGTCCGCTATGATACCAGCTACATCTAAATTACAAGCCTTGTCAAAGGCAATGAAACCTACATTTGCATTGGCCTCGCAGACGTAGAATGAACCGTCGTCCTTCATCAGCAGGTCAATGCC